AAAAAAGATGGCGGCGCCCAGCAAACCAGCGGCCCAGTAGGACTTGTTCCACGGACCGGTGGTTGGGGACCCCTGCCCTATGCAATAAATAAGGTAATCCAGCAATAGGGGAAGGTTCCTCTCCCGAATTGGTGGTTGGATTCTGCTGGGTCAGCCATGGGCAGCAATGATGAATGCTGAAGTCCAATGGTTTTTGGGAGCATTAGAGATGTCTTCAACTATGACTTGAGATCATTCCTATTCCAAGGGAAAGGGTGATTGTCCCCTTGTTCAAACCCTGCATGGGGCAAATATTTCACAAATTGAATATTGTGGTGGCGCAGTGGTTAGAATGCAGTACTGCAGGCTACTTGTGGCCGGCTGCCTACAATTTGGCAGTTCGAATCTCACTGGGCTCAAGGTTGACTCAGCCTTCCATCCTTCCGAGGTCGGTAAATGGGGACCCAGATTGTGAGGGGCAATAGGCTGACTCTGTAAACCAGTGATCCCCAACCTTTTTTATGCCGCGGCCTGGTACCGGCATCAGCTGGGCGCCGCGGCCCGGTACCGGCATCAGCTGGGCGCCGTGGCCCGATACCGGCATCAGCTGGGCGCCATCTTTTTTTGATGAAAAAGTGCTTCCGGTGAGCTTTCTACCCGGAAAAGCTCACCAGAAGCACTTTTTCATCAAAAAAAGATGGCGGCGCCCAGCAAGCCAGCGGCCCGGTAGGAGTTGTTCCACGGACTGGTATCGGTCCACGGACCGGTGGTTGGGGACCCCTGCTGTAAACCACTTAGAGGGCTGGAAAGCACTGTGAAGCAGTATATAAATCTTAGTGCTATTGCTATTAATCCTTAAAATATAAAATAAAGGTGGTGGGGGGAACAATTCTAACAATCTTCCCTAAAATGTGACCACTTAAGAGCTCTTGAAACTTTCTTCTCCTTTCCCAGGCAAGGGAAACTGTAGTCCTCTACTCTGTGTCTCCTTTTACCCTCTGGAATTTTAACTTACTCTTTTCAAAGTAACTTGATCTGTTAGTTCAATGTCTTCTCCTAATTCAATATTGACTCTAAAACAAAAATCTGCACTCTCCCTGTTCCCTGTTAAATTTTTCAGTGATTATAGCTATGGAAAGTTCCCCCCTTTGTTTATTGAATTGAGATCAACCTATGCTCTTATTTGCTTAGAAAATACAGATAGTCCTTGACTTACAACCATTCACTTAGTGACTGTCTGAAGTTACAACATCACTGAAAAAAGTGACATGTCCGACGTTCACACTTATGACAGTTGCAGCATTCCCATGGTTACATGAACAAGTATGGATGATTGACAACCAACTCATGTTTATGACATTTGCAGAGTCCCGGGGTCATGTGATCACATTTTCTGACCTTCTGACAAGCAGAGTCAATGGGGAAGCCAGGTTTGCTTAATAACCCCGTTAACAACTTAACAACTCAGTGATTCACTTACCACTGTGGCAAGAAAGGCCAAAAAAATGGGGCAAAACCCACTTAGCCGTGGAAATTTGGGTCTGTTATGGTTGTAAGTCGAGGACCACCTGTAAGTATAGAGAGTGGGATAAAAGGGAAATTGGTTTGGGGGATTTTGTGTGTTATATTAACAATATATCATATTACATCATAACATTTCCATTTCCCTCACTTTTTTCCCCATGCTTATCAGAGAGGAGACCCAGCAGTAGGTGTGGAAGAGTGTGTGTGTTTGTATATGAACCAAGGAAGTTAAGGGCTGCCGCCAGAACCAAGAAAATCTATTTGCTCTTCTCGTAGATTATTCCACTATTTAGACTTATCCTTCAGAATCATGAATACTGTAAGGCAGTTTGAATACATCGAATGTACAATGATGGCACATTTCCTGGACGATGGGCATATAGAAAAAATACCATGTCCTAGGAGAGAGAATAGCCTGATTTCCTCAAACTGTGAAGTCTTTTGTTTGCAGAGATATAGGATAATGCAGGTAGCAAAACATTCTTTCCTTCTGATGGAAGAATTTACCTTTGGAGACTCTCCTTAACTTGTTCTCTCTTGCTCTGTGTGAAGTAGTATATGGACAATTTTGAACCAAATAAGAGTTCGTCGTTTAATCGATTTGTGTATGTATATAAAAACACACAAATCATCTTATTCTGTTGTCTTTAGAAATTAGGGGCCTTCCTTGCCCAGAATCCAGAGTGTAGAGTTTGAACTGTTGAGAAGGTGACCAAAGTCAGCCTCTCTCTCCTATTTGGCCTGAATGTAGGGTTCATGACTTGAGAGGCTATTAAGAAACTGACCTTTTTGCTACCAAAAATCAAGGGAAAGAGGTGAATTGATCAGTGAATGGAGCAGCCACTGCCTGCTGCCCAGCCTCCAAAGAGAAAATGAATGGAGAAATGGGAAGTAAATAACACTGACCTGAGGGAGTATAAATTCTATTCTGCTTTTTATCTGCCACTAAGTGAGGACATCAACAACATTCGTTGAATGTTTGAAGACTAGCCAAGCTCTGAGACTAGCAAGGTACCATTTAACATCCTGTTCCCAGACAGATCTTTTGTTCTTATTGCGCTGAAAGTGGGGAGTTGGACCTCCAAGTGGTATAGTGAACTAAAAATCCTAGTTGCCTATGGTGAGTTGTGGGCCAGCAACACCTGCAGGACATGTTCTCCACCTTGTTCTGCCATACGATTCACATCATGAAAACAATCGTCTGAGATGTTTGAAGGATGCCAGTTTAGGGAAAACCGATGCACGGATTTCTTTGCGTGTGGTTTACAAACTAAATGGCTGAGAGCCATTCATGCTATCCAGTCTCCATAGTGACTCTTGAATTCTCTCCTCAGCTGGTTGACTTCCCACTCAGTTTTCATAGCTATTTAAGTGAAGAATAGGAGAAAAGTGGAGGACCATAATGTCCTATGCTTCAGAAAGAGAAACATTTGTATTCTTAAAGCCAGGTAGTGATGTTGGAAGTTCTGGATGGGGTGTTCTTGAAGCAGGAGGTCTACCAGCCCCACTTAAAACATCCAGCTCTATATGGAGGACCAAATATATCTGCTTACTGCCTTCAATCGATGTAATTCAGTTTTGCATCTAAAAATAACTCAGTTTGTATTTGATGACATGATTCATCAATTCATGAGCATTTTGTCTTCATATCTAAGAGGCATTTCAAATGCCCTTTTGCATCTCACCCAATGAGTTTCTCGAATCTTGCAGAATTCTTCCTACATTTCCTCTTCTAAGTTTCCAATATTATTTGTAAAACTTTCTAGTCCCTTTTTCTGGGACAATGTCCGATTGCTTAACTAGCCCTAAAGCTGCTGCAAGAACCAGCTTTAATACTGCTTTTAGGGCTTGTTCGGAAGCACCCAACTTGGTGCAGACAAATGTTCCTATCATAGCTTCCATGGAGTGAACTCTTATGGACTTCTGCATGAATCCTTCGTTCTTGAAATCGTCCAGATTTGGAAGTAGTCCTTTTCTTTCCAATAACAAGAATTGTACAGTTGATTTTAATGGCTACTTGAACTGAGGAATTACCACTACAGCTCTGAGAGATAAATATCCACTTTAAAAACCATCCCTGGCAACAGCTGGATTCCTTAGTAAGCCATTTGTGTTTCTAAAAATTGGCAGATCTGAAACCAGCGCAGATGAGACAGCAGACCAGCTTAAAAACTAAGCCGTGAGCTTGACTTCAGAATACCAACAAGGCACAGCCAATTCTTTCTCCTCCATTCGTTGGAAGTACCAATTGCAAGAACTGGCCATTTGAAAATACACAAAAAAAAGTTTCTTTTTTCCCCCGGTTTCTTGCTTAATGAATTCGTGCTTTTAATCCTTCCCCAACAGCCAGAGTTCTCTCTGGAGAGATTACAGAGCACCTCTTTCCTCAGTCCCAAAGCATGCAGGCTCCGCAGTGAAAGGATATGGGGAGGTGCACTAGCTGGCTGCTCTTTATCCAACCAGTTGAGGAATGCTGGGTCTTTGTGTGCTGTGCCTCTTTTGGGCTGCTGTGTGACTTTTGTGCTGTTTAAGCTTTCTTCGGGGGGGGGGGGGGGGTCCGGGGGAAAGATTGGAGGGAGAGAGGTTAACTGAGTGCTCTTTGCCATCTTGAGTGAAGACTTGTGATCTTGACTTTTGAATTAAAGCTTGTGGGAGTTTCCTTTATCTGGGACTTCTGATGCTCTTGAGTGTCGTTGTTGGGCAGCCTTGTGCAGTAAGTAGGAGCACCTTATAAGGTCTCTCCTGCTGAGAAACGTCTACGCCGGAAGTGAGGATGTTTTCCAGGAGAGCCAAGAAGTCGTATATGGGATCCTCTCTTAGGAAGGGTCTTTGATGTCCATCTTTTTCTGAATGGAGAAGAACAGGAAGCTCTTGCAGAAGAGATGGCTTCAAGGCAATTGGCCAGGGGGCGGGGGGTTCCCAGCAGCTACACAAGAGGAAGTCATACTTCAGGGAAGGACATCAGGCTTAGTGCAACCCCAGCTATGCCCAGTATTACTTTCTCTACCATAGCTCAGAGCAGAATAGTATCGCTGGTAGTAAAGCAATGCCATGACTCAGTAGAACAGGGCTGGGGAAACGGGGAACATGGCCCCTTTTATGACTTGTGGACTGCTGGCTCAGGAATTCTGGGAGTTGAAGTCCACAAGTCATAAAGGGCCCATCGTTCCTCACCTCTACAGTAGAAGAACAGCTGCTTTGTAGTCTGACAGCTCCGTGTTCATTCATCAGCCTCTCCGGTTCAAGATAAGGCAAGAGGTGATGGGGAGACTCCTTTCTCAAGAATCTGGAAAAACTAATTGCCAACTGCCAGTAGGTAATACAAGTCTAGGTGGATCTTTACCATCAGGGCTGGTAAAGACCACCTGTCTGTCTTTGTAACTTCGATCTTCGAAGTCCTAAAGTTCTTTTCCACAAGGTGTACAACAATCGCCCCGTTTCTGCCACAACTGCTCCCTAGATTCCTACTTTTTTCACTCTGCACTGTAGCTGCCCAATACGGAGTCAGTCCCCTACACTTAGTATCTGGAGTGGTACAGATTCAGCTGGGGAGGCTTGCTTAGATCAATCTGGAATTGAATCCGGCATCGCCTCTGAGTTGCAACCATCCCTCAACATTGAAAAGACATGAGATCCTTCTGCAAAACTATGTTCCCCATCTCAGGCCCAAAGCTAGCTGGACTTCCTTGAGAGCCAGTCCCTTTCTCTCCAACCTAGGAAGAAGGAGAAGAAGAAGGCAATGGCCAACCTCTTCTGAAATCTTGCCAAGAAAGCTGCACAGATCTTATCCAGGCAGCTGCCATAAGTCAAATCTACTGTATTTTTGGCTCAAAATACAGTAGATTTAAGATTGATGGTGGATATACTTTGATTTTACTCCCTAAAACAGTGTTTCTCAACCTTGGCAATTTTAAGATGTGTAGAGTTAACATGATGGTTAAGGGATTCTGAGAGTTGAAGTCCACACGTCTTAAGGTAGCCAAGATTGAGAATCACTGCTTTTGGGAACAGGTACCATTAAAATCAAATGGATCTGTATTCAGAATCAACCCATGCAGGATGATGCCATGAGACCAGGTTAATGTAAGACCGATGTAACATACTATCTCCGATGAAACCTATAATGGCTCAGGAGGATAAAGTAGTTCACCCAACACACTCAAGTTCACTGACCCCACGGCACCTACAATAGAGGGGAGAAGGTCAAAGAGTTCAAGATATTGGGTACAGCATACACTAAAGAAGGAGGGTAGGGCTTCAATCATAGGGTTGTGACTATCTTACTTATTAATTGGATATATCTAGTCTAATGAAGAGAAGAACTAGTGGTGACATGATAGCAATCTTCCAGTACTTGAGGGGCTGCCACAAAGAAGAGAGGAGGTCAAGCTGTTCTCCAAAGCACCTGAGGGCAGGACAAGAAGCAAAGGGTGGAAACTAATCAAGGAGAGGAGCAACCCAGAGCAAAAACAGCCTCCCCAGGGCTCTGGAAGCTCTCCGGAAGCTGGAAAGAGTCCCATTTCCGGACTTCCGGAAGGCCCATTTCCCCCCCTCAGAGCCTCCGCACGGACCCTGCACTTACCTCCATCAAAAATGGGCCACATAGAGACTCTTGGGAGGGGAGGGAGGGGTGGGTGGGGCCAGCTGGTCGGTTGAAATACTGGTTTGGCGAACCAGATGTAACATTAACATCCGGTTCACCCGAACCGGCCCAAACCAGTAGAATCCCACCCCTGCCTGACCCACAATGCAGCCCTGCATGCTTTTCTTTCTCCGTTTATTGGAAGGAAGGAAAAATAACCTAATCTGAAGATAGTCAAGACTTAAGTTGATTTGCCCCAGGTCCATTTTTGCCTTACCATATAATTCACCTCGGTAGCTTCTGAATAAATTGACTGTGTGGTATCTTTGAATTTGGTTTGACAAACAATTTTTTTTTTTATTCCTTGGTTTTCATCATTGATATGCAAAGGTGAGGGTCCCTGATCTTCAGCATGAGATCTTGCCTTTTAGGTGTGTCAAAATCCAAGCCAGTGAGATTTTCCCTTTCTTAAGAGAGATTGGTTCAACAAGAAAAGTCACAGGTACCTTTTCAGCACGTAAAGAGATGAATAGTGGACTTTTTGGGAAATAATTGTGTTCCAACTATTGCCAGTTGCAAGTTTTGCTTTCTCGGTTTTGCAAATACAGGTCCTATTTTTAGCAAACTCGAGAAGAGGAGATTTTGTAGACATGTAAAACTAACTAGTCTAACCTAAACTAACTAGGGACGCGGGTGGCTCAGTGGCTAAGACGCTGAGCTTGTCATTCAGAAAGGTCAGCAGTTTGGCGGTTCAAATCTCTAGTGCTGCGTAACAGAGTGAACTCCCGTTACTTGTCCCAGCTTCTGCCAACCTAGCAGTTCGAAAGCATGAAAAAATGCAAGTTGAAAAATAGGGACCACTTTGGTGGGAAGGTAACAATGTTCCGTGCACCTTTGGCGTTTAGTCACGCCAGCCACATGACCACGGAGACGTCTTCGGACAGCGCTGGTTCTTCGGCTTTGTAACGGAGATGAGTACCGCCTCCTAGAGCTGGAAACAACTAGCATGTATTTGTGAGGGGAACCTTTACCTTTAAACTAACTAGCTTAAGGTTCCCCTTGCATTCTGGCCAGGTGAAGTGTTTTTTCCTTCCTTTACTTTCCTTTGCTCAATCACATTAGGATCTAAAGGCTGATCTCCAGGAAGCTGTCTTGACGTACATCGTTTTGGCTGGAAGATCACTTGGAGAAGGGGCTGGTTGGGCCGTGTTTGGAAACCAGGACATTCTCTTTCCACCTGATGGAACTTCTGAAGGAGATAATCCCAAAATCTGCACCTCAGTACCCTGTTACCAAGCCCATAGTGCTTGGCTTGGATATGAGTCTCCTCTAGACTTGATGCAGAAGTGGTAATGTATACATTATAAACGCATATCCACAAGACCAAACTTCGGGCTGTAGGAAACTTCATTTGTTTGGTTGTGGATGTACGTAACTCAAATTAAGAATCTCTTCAACCAATTGGACTTTTTTCTTTATAGTCTCTCTCTCTTCATTGTAATTATTCTTATTCTAAGACCACAAAGGGCCTTTTATCTCTTTCTCAGTACGGTGGATCGTGCCCTGACTTTGCACCTTATGAATTTTACTTTAACCTTTGAAACCTTTAACCTTTTTTTTCTGATCTTTTTTATTTCTTTCCTGATGTTGTAAGCAGCGCTACAACAGAACGATACATATACTTCAGGCATTCGCAGAGTAGGATGCTAATCCTTTAAAAAATAAAATAAAATACCCGGCAGCCCTACGGATTAGAACATGATCTGCTAGTTTTAGTTATGATGTCAGTGTAAAACTCTCTCTCTCTCTCTCTCTCTCTCTCTATCTATCTATCTCTCTATCTATCTATACATACATACATACACACATACACACACACACACATATATATATATACACATACATATACATATACATATACATATACATCATATACATATACATATACATATACATATACATATACATACATACATACATATATATATATGTGTGTGTGTGTGTGTGTGTGTGTGTGCGCCCCATTCCAGTCTCTCTCTTGATTACTCAAATGTCTATTTGTTTTTTCAAATTTAACAGCAAATGTGGAACGGTTGTGCAACCTGAACTGCTTTGATACATGTCCATTTAGCTGGGTGCCTTTTCGATATAGGTACCTTATTCAGATGTTAAAATGCTTGGTTCCTGGTGTTAAATCAATTGCACAAAAGGCAAGGGGTTTCCTTCACACATATCCTGTTTTCTGATGGAGGGAATTGCAGGCCATGGGAGCAGAATCCCAGCAGGCTTTGTGAAACTGAACAGAAATTCAGCTTCAGTTGAGCTTCTCTTAAATTGCCTGATTATTTAAGAATGGATCCTTGAAAGCACCTGTCCTTCAGTCCTTTTCGAAAAGCAGAGAGATCCTTTGCAAAAAAAAAAAAAAACCAACAGCAAAACCAGGGGGGCGGAAACAAGAGGCTTTTTCAAATAAAATGCAATATTTATGGAGACTGTGTCTGCTCGTCTTTATATATATAGAGAGAAACATTGCATTGGTCATCAATAAACACCTCAGGAAAGACCAAAAAAAGGTGCAGCTTGAAAGAGTAAGCACCGGTCCGAAGGGATCCTGAAGATTGCCTCGCTCTTAACATTCATCTCTAAGAAATGCATTTGTATCATTTTCAATGTTGTGGGTCATTTTTTTTTTCCTTCCCTGAGGGTTTCCTTTTAATGAACGTGCATAACTAATGACCCTGGAGAGTCTGTGGCTGAGAGGATTGCCCCTGAATCCCACATCTTTGGACTAGCAAAAGGGTAAAGAGATTCTGAGGCTGTACTAAAAGGCTCAGGGAAGGATGAAAAGCAGGTAGAAGATTACTTATCCTTCTTTAAAAGGAAGATCTCAATTGCTACACATTGAGGCCAGCTCAGCATGAGACCAGCTAATGGCCTTGCCATAAAGTGATGAGTGAGAAACTCACCTTTCAGCAAATTGGACCCCCCCCCACACACACAAATCTTCCCTTCCCTCTAAAGCTCCTAATGGAAGAATTAGGTTGCCTTTCACTGCCACCTTGTGTGCAAAATAACACTCTGCTGATTTTGGTTTTTTGGGGGGGAGAGGCTGCACTTTGTCTGTGGAGATTCTGAGTCACCCAGCTCATGGTTGTCCCAAAAGTGCTTTTTTCAAGAGGCAAATGGACTTTCTGGTTTTTCTTTGAAGACATTTTGCTTCCCATCCAAGAAGCTTCTTCAGCTCTGACTGGATGGTGGGGGATGGAAGGATTTATACTCCTTGCAGACAGCTGGTCATTTGCATTCCTTTTGCATGTCAATCCAAACTAGAGCCTGCAAACACACCTTTTGCAGCATAGAGCAAACAGATACGGGCATTTTGGTGGCATGTTTTTATCCACAACACAAGGGGATCCTCCCAGTTAAAAATGTTCCTTTAGGAAGGTGATTAGCTTTTGTCTTCCCCCAGTCCATTTCTGCAGCCTCAGGGTCATCTTGGTTGCCACTGCGAAGATGGATGCTGGGATTAAGTGCTTAATTAAACATAATCGGTCTTTATTAGATTGATCACTATTGCCAAGGGGTTGTTGTAGGTTCCCTCATGTATTTTCTCCGTTTCTTTGAAGATGGGGATGCTGTCTACTTGTCCCGATGAGCCCTCTGTCTTCAGTATTTACGTTACATGAGGATATAACTCGGGAGTCCCCAAACTTGGCAACTTTAAGACTTGTGGACTTCAACTCCCAGAATTCCTCAGCCAGCTAAGTCCGCAAGTCTTAAAGTTGCCAAGTTTGGAGACCTCTGATATAACTTGCCATTATAATATGTGGAAGGAGAATTGTGTGCCCTCTGTCCCAGTTGCCGAGAACCAATTTGGTGGAGTGGTTAAGGAACCAGGCTAAAAACCAGGGGACTGAATTCTAGTCCTGCCTGAGGTACAAAGCCAGGTGGGTGAACTTGGGCCAATCATGCACACCCAGCCCTAGAAAAAAGCAGGTAATGGCAAACCACATTTGAAATCTTGGCAAGGAAACTACAGACCGGGGGTGGTATTCTACTGGTTCGTCCTGGTTCGTCTGAACCGGTAGCTCCAAGGATCTTCTGTGAGTGAACAGGTTCATTCCAACGATCAGCTGCTGGGCCCGCCCACCTGCCCTATTCTGACCTTTATTTCCTGGTTTTCAAGCTCAGCTGCTTCACACGGCGTTGAACACACTGGGAGAGTGCAGAATTGCAGGAGAAGGTCAGTGGCAGACCCTCTGCGTTTGCGCGAAGCATGCATTTGGCGCATGCGCTCACCGAACCAGTTGTTACACCGGCTGAATCGCACCCCTGCTACAGACAATCATCAGGATCAGTTCAAAGTACACACAGACACACACTTCCAGTTGATGTTGGCAGCTACTTGCAGCCTCTGCTCAACATAGTCAATAATGGAAGATACAGTTCAACAACTGGAAGTTCTTCAGATTTTTTGTCCTTGAAGGAATAGTTTGTTATGTCGGAATATAATGAGAACTTCATTTAATTTTGCAGGGTTTCTTCTGCTTACAATTTGGAGCCCTGGGTAGGGGTGTCTTTTTGGTATAATTCAAAGAGTCAAGATAGCAGATCCTAGGGGACAATGGAAGCTTTGTCCGTTTTTTTTAATGCAGGTTTTGTGTGCAGTGCACATATAAATGGGCAAAACTTCCATTGCACTTTCACAATTCCACCCATCTTGATACCCTTCAGAGACACTCTTGATACTGGTGTTGGAAGAATTATCCTTCTGGGTTCAGTTCCAAGTGGGGAAAAAGACACTGGAAACATGGAGGCTGTTTGGAAAGATGGTTTAATGGTGGACAGGACCACATGGCTTGGAGATCCAAAGTGAAAAGGACGATCACATGCTTCAAGATGTTGGGTGAAGGAAAAGAAGGAAAAATGCTGAGAGTGCAATTGTTTTATACCCTTTGTTGGGCCCCACCTTAGTGTTTCCTGTTCCTGTGCAGGAAATGTATCCCATTGGCTGTCAGACTCCCAGGGGGCAGGGGTCTTAGCTAACTTTGTAGGCTTTGTCTGGACCACATGGCTTCACCTGAATGCTGGCTGATGCAGTCTTCCCAGGTGCCAGGTTCCCAGGTGCCAGAGGCCTTTGTTATGTAGAATACTGTGGCCCAGGCCTTAATGGCCCGCCCATTAACAAAGGTGGGGGTGAGCTTCTGCTTCTGAGTTTCTACTCTTTTTGGAGGAAATATTCTACCTTTTTAGTACATCCTAAAATATTTCATTTTCCTAGGAGAGGGGTGGGTTTTAACTTCCAACACTGGGATGTTGGGTAAGGCTTGATGCTCTTTAAGAGCGCCACTGTTGCTTTTGGCCTTTTCAATTTCGAGATCGGCACGCCATTAGGCGGGCACATTGGAAGAGGGCAAACCATCCTCACCCACACAACCTGTCCCCTTAGCTCTTACTCTCTCAAAATGCTATCTGGGCCCTCTGGCGTCAACAGACGAGACCTATAAGCCAGCTCAATGAGAAAGAACTCTTTTAGCAATCAGATTTAGGGATTGTTCCAATTTGCACCCAACTATTGGACCAGCATCTCCTGCCAGTGTCTTTTTTCTTTTCCCCCATCCTGTTTTCCTCATTTTTACTTCCAGCTTACAAAGGAGACTAGCTGAAGTCTTCATTAATTGTAATTGAGTGTCAGAGACCCCCTTACACTGACACCATCCAAGGACAGCCTCCAGGCGTGTGAAAGCTGTTAGGCTTAATCACCCATTACTCGGGAAGGAAAGCTGGCAACAGCCGTGAATGGGAACCAAGACAATAAAAGCAAGAGAGGCAGCAAGGCTGTGAACAGCAAATGTCATGCCAGCATATTTTTCGACTGCCTCAAGGTCGGGTGGAGACTAGAGCAGCTCGGCTCAGCAGTGGCAAAAAGCTTTTCCACCGAATTTGCTTCTGGATTCCCTTCTCAGGCTGCAACATCTCTCTCCCCCCACACACACAAATAAACCAACCAACCACTGGGTGGCAGCAAAGATCTTCTGGCTGCCAACTAGTGGTCATTAGGATATTTGCATTCTGGTTCTGATAGCTGTACCTTGGACAAGCAGAGAGAAATAGGTACAATTATTCACACACCCTGGGGTAATACAAGGACCCTTCCAATTTACCAGAAGAGAATCTCTACAGACTTTTAGCTATACAATTTGGGATTAACACTGTTCGAATGTAGGAACGGATTTCCAGAAAAAATTTTCAGTTTTGAGATTGGCACGCTATTAGGCAGGCACATTGGAAGAGGGCAAACCATCCTCACCCACGCAACCTGTCCCCTTAGCTCTTACACTCTCAAAATGCTATCTACAGGAACCATTAAGGAACCATTACAGGAACCATTAGGCATTACTCAGGTGACCCTGAGGACACAGATAAACCCCCAAGTGCTTCAACCCTAACTCTAACCCTAACCCTCTAAAAGGATGCAAATGACCAGCTGTCTGCAAGGAATATAAATCCTTCCATTTCCCATCATGCAGTCAGAACTGGAAAAGCTTCTTGGATGAGAAGCTAAACATCTGCAAAGAGAAAACAAGAAGGTCCATTTGCCTCTTGAAAAAAGCACCTTTGGGACAACCGTGAGTTGGAGGACTAAGAATCTCTACAGACTCCTGGGAGGGAACTTCTCTTAGTCTAAAATATGAGGAATGTTGAGACAAATGTTTGACTTCAGTCTGCTCTTGGCCGTTTTAGGAAGCAGGAGATCCATAT